ATTTTGTTCTAATATTTGGCTTTATCTTCTTGAGATGATCTTTGAAAATTTCTGTTCAGCTCTTGGACCTCCTCATTTTTTCCATTTGATTTAGCATCACTACACTGTAGAGCAAGTTTCAGTGTCTCTTCTGACATCCATTTTGACCTTTTTCTTCTTTCTTGTCTTCTTAATGACTTTTTGCTTTCTTCATATGTGATGTTCTTGATGTCATCCCATAACTCTTCTGGTCTCCAGTCTTTAGTGTTTAATGTATCAAATCTGTTCTTCAGATGATCTCTAAATTCAAGTGGGATATATTCAAGGTCATATTTTAACTCTCATGGATTTGTTTTCATTTTCTTCAGCTTCAGTTTGAATTTGCATATGAGCAATTGATGTTCGGATGCACAGTCTGCCCCTGCCCCTGGAGCTTTTCCATCATCTCTTTCCACAGATGTAGTCAATTTGATTTCTATGTATTCCATCTGGTGAGGTCCATATGTATAGTCGTCTCTTATGCTGTCTAAAGAAGGTATTTGAAATGAACAAATCATTGATTTTGAAGAATTCTATCATTTCTATTACCAAGGCCATATTTTCCAACCACTGATCCTTCCTCTTTGCTCCCAACCTTTTCATTCCAATCACCAGTAATGATCAATACATTTTGATTGCATGTTTGATCAGTTTCAGATTGAAGAATTTAGTAGAATTCTTCTATTTCATCTTCACTGGCTTTAGTGGTTCATGCGTAAATTTGAATAATAATGATATTAACTAGGCTTCCTTGTAGGCGTATGGATATTATCCTATCACACCCAGTGTTGTACGTCATGACTGATCTGGATATGTTCTTTTTGACAATGAATGCAACACGATTCCTCTTCAATTTTTCATTTCTGGCATAGTAAATCATATGATCATCAGATTCAAAATTGCCAGTACCAGTTCGTTTCAGCTCACTAATGCCTAAGATACTGATATTTATGAGTTCCATTTCATTTTTCACAACTTTCAATTTCCCCAGATTCATACGTTGTATATTCCATGTTCCAATTTTCAATGGATGTTTATAGCTATTTCTCTTCATTTTGAGTTGTGCCCTATCAGTAAATGAAGGTCCCACTGGCTTTTTTTCCACAGGCTTTACTCCATTCGTGTCATCATGGTCAACTCTACATTGAGGAGGCAGCTCTTCCCCAGTGCATTTTGAGTGCCTTCCAACCTGAGTGGCTCATTTTCCGGCACTATATCTGACAGTGTTTCTCTGCTATTCATAAGGTTTTCACTAACTAAATATTCAAAAGTAGTTTGTCACTCCTTCTTCTTTGTCTTCTTGTGGAAGCTCATCTGAAACTTGTCTACCATAGATGCCCCTGCTGGTATTTAAAATACAGGTGGCATAGCTTCCAGAATCCCAGAAACTCACAAGCCACCATAGTACGACAAACTGACAGATGATTGGTAGACTTTTGCAGTACATGAAACAAAATACTCTTCAGCTGTTTATATTATTCTATAATATATTTAAAAAAAAAAAAACAAAAAACACTGCAATAACCTTTTAACATGGAGGTCTCTTTTGTCACTAGATCAAATCATCTCTATATTGGACAACAAACTATAGACTGGCTAATTAAGACAATTAATTATTTTTTCTTTGTAAATGTTTTAAGTCTTCTTAACTTTCAGCAAACAAAGTTGTATCAACTGCATATCGCAGGTTGTTAATAAGTATTCCTCCAATTAATAAGCATTCAAGACAATACTCCTGTCTTAAAATCTTTTCAGGCAATGTCCAATTGTATATTTGTCTACAGTACAATAGGGTACTTTTTTCTTTTCTTCTTTTAACAGAACTCAGCTCTTTTTTAGTTTGTTCCCTATAAGGCGCTCTGGTGGCACTTTGTGTTAGATGTGGACTGCTAACCACAAGGTTAGCCTCTCAAACCCACCATGTTCTGCTGGGGAGGCAGATGAGGTTGTGTGCTGTCTTAGAGTTTTACAATCTCAGAAACCCTAGATAGGGCTGCTATGAGTTAGAACTGACTTGATGGCAGTGGGTTTGTGTTTGGTTTGATTTAATGATTTTAAAGACCCAAACCTAGTAACTCTTAAAGCACTGGATCATGAGTAGGACACAAAGACACAAACAAGTGAATCAGAGGACATGGATCTGTATGTGGGCTCTCTGAGTTGTTTCAACATGCAGGCAAGCAGAGGAGGTGGGAGCTTTGGGGACTAGGTTGCACCTGCTACTCAGGTGGCGAGAACGGTGTCCTGGGGAAAGACATTTTTAAATTTCTCCCTGCTCACTTCTTGCTCTGCTCCAACCAAGGCCTTCTCAGTCATCACTGCTACCAACATCCATTCCTCTGTCCTCCATCAGCAGCTCCAACACCAGCAGCACTGATAGCAGCTGTGATGAGGACAAGCAGAAATGTGCTCCCATAGGATTTTCATAATCTGTTCACACAATGACCAAATCCCATGATGTCTTGTTTCACAGAACCTATCATGGACTTTAAGCAATGCATATCTGACTTCTAGCCATTGCTTTAAAATTCATTGATCACTCAAGGTCTACAATACAACCCTCGATTCAACATCCATCTCCAACAACTTCAATAGTTTCAGCCAGGACTTGATTTGATCCACATACAATCTACACACCCATATTACATCTGGTACCCCATATTACAGGAAGCACTAAAGTCAGAAAGAAGTAAGGGTCATGACCACAAATTACAGATATTGAATCCATCCCAGTGCACACAGCAAGCTCTGATTCAACCTGGAAGTAAAGTTACAGAAAGAGTATATGGAGTTTGTATCTGATCTAAGGAGAGAGTGACAGGTAATAGGCAGGATGTTGTTGTTCTTAAGTGCCATCGAGTCACTTCTGACCCATAGCAACACTGTATAGGGTTTCCGAGGAGCTTCTGGTAAGCTTGAACCGCTCACCTTGCTATTCAAATGGCTTTTCAGTGTGGCGTATACGCCCACAGCGCCAAACCAGGACTCCAATAGGCAGGATGTTGTTGTTGTTGCTAAGTGCCGTCGAGTCAGTTCCGACCCATAGCAACCCTGAACAGGGTTTCCGAGGCTGTAAATCTTTACGGCAGCAGAAGCCCTCATCTTTCTCCCGGGGAGTGGCTGATAGTTTAGAACTGCTGACCTTGCAGTTCACAGGCCGATACTTAACCACTATGCTACCAGATAGATCATGTTAAATGAAACATCAACACTACATGCTTCAAGCACTCTCTACGTGTTGCTAGGCCACTGCTATGAGCTCCTGGTATTTAAAGCCCATACCTCATCTTCTTTAAATGGAAATGTCATATAGCAATGGCATTATTTAATTATCTAATTGCTTTACATTTGCTTTCCTTTTATCTCTTTTTCTTTATTTTTGTCTTGTTTCTGATCTAAAATGCAATCTTTATATGTTTCATCATTGAAGAAGATGTTTTTCTAGTCTTTTGGTGCATTTCTTTTCACCAGCTACCAAAGTTCTCTTTTCTTTCTAGGTCACTGCTAGTTTCCATTATGAAAGGATTCTGCATTTTATTGAAAGCTTGTTCTGTATCTATTAACATGATAATCAAGGCTTTAACATAAGCTTGTAATTCAGGTTAACTATATTAAAAGACTGAAAAGTTTTTAAAACTAATCTTGACTTGTGAAATAAATCAGACTTATTCATAATGCATTTTTAAATGCTAGGTTTGATTTGCTTCTAGGATCAAAATATTTGTATCTAAGTCCATGAATATATCGTCAGTGTTCTAAGATGAGTTCAGGTGTCAAAAATCTTGCAAATGGCACCGCTCAACTGACTTTTATACATGACAGATTTGACACAATCTATGGTGAATCCTGATGTTTCATTCAAAGTGAATAAGAACCCTGCAATGTGGACCATGGTCTGGTGTGTGGTGTCCCAGATACTTGAACCTGATTTAGGGTGTTGGGACTACTCTTATAAGGATTTCAGTGCTTGACCTACAACTAAGCATACTGAGATGCTACAGACATCTAAAGGAAGCAAATAACAACCAGTTTCACTTTAACTTATTTGAATTGATGTAAGAGGTTTTACAGATGGAAAGAATCAGGGTTAAAGCAATGTGTTTCTAAGTAAGCAGGTCATGAATCTAAAGGTAGAAGGTAGCAGGTAAGAAGTGGAGAAATTCTGTGAGCACAAAAAACAGTTTCTATTGTACTGACAGACTTCAGTAGGACTTTGAACAACATCAACATTCTATTTCACATTAACATTAACAACATTAACATTCTATTGCACATTAACATTAACAACATTAACATTCTATTGCACATTAACATTAACAACATTAACATTCTCTTGCACACTAACATTCTATTGCACATTAACATTCTATGCACTGACTTAGACTTCAGTAGGACTTTGAACAACATTAACAACTGCTTGCAGAATTGTTTCCATGGCACCATAAAGCCTATGTTCTCAAACTTGCCCAGATAGCAGAAAACAGAACCAAGATGTGAAAAACACAAACTGGCCACAGAGTCCATGAATTTAATAAGCTATTAGAATGTAGCATTTGAAGGCAATCTGTTTTACTTGAAAATGATTTTTTAAATATAGATAAATGTATAGAAATTAGCATAAATCAGAAACATACTAAGAATTCTTTCTGGCATCAAAAATACTGCCAACAAAAACCCTGTTAAACTCTCAAATATGATTTTTCTCCCATTCTCAGCCTAAGTCATCATGCTACCTCTTACCAAGGAATTGCTCTTGACTCAATATTTGATTTCCTTTTATTTTCCATCAGAATTAGCAATATACTCATTGCAAATGGCCATACATCATAGAGATTTGAGTTTCATTTAATTTTTCCTGTTTCTCAATGATGTCTAAATATAGAATGACCTGTTGTGGGTATCTGGGAAAAGGCACATTTGTGCACACTTATTCACAAACCAGAGTAAAGACAGAAAACAGAAGGACCAGTCCTCAAACTTACCAGATTTTGGATATGTGATTATGAAGACATCGTCATCTCTAATTTCAAAATCTTCTAGATTTTCTAGTACGTCAATATCAATCAGGGAACGCTCAAAGTAATATCCTTTGAAATTAAATAAGTATGTCTCGATGTCATCCATAATCAGTTACCTACAAGGAAAACCAAAACATTCTTTTCAATGTAATAATAATGAACAAAAATATGGACTTAAACAATGGAAGCAATAATGTTGTCAAACATGACACATTTGTGAGGATGGTGCAGGACCAGGCAGTGTTTCATTCTGTTGTGCATAAGATTGCGAAGAATTGGAACTGACTCGAGGGAACCAAACAATAACAACAACAACACTTATTCAATGTTTAGTGTGTGCCAGGCAGCATTTAAATGTCTTGTCTTATCAACTCATCTATCATAGTAATGATTTTACAAATATCGAGTTATTTAATCTCCACAGCAATCCAAAAAAAATAGGTGCTGTACCATTATTATTTTAAAGATGAGGAAATTGAGATGCTAGGAGGTTAAGCAACTTTCACTAAAACACAGTGCATGAGGTATTCTTATAATTTCAAATACACAGAGATACTAAGCAAATTGCTCAAAATTGCTCAGCAAGCAGAAAACAGAACCAAGATGTGAAATAAGCAAACTGGCCACAGAGTCCATAAATTTAATAATTTCAGTGTAGACGTAATAACTATTTTCTATCTTTATATATTGCATTATTTCATTATTTTGGCTATAAGCTCTTTTAAGACAGTATTGCTACCCACTAAAGTAGGATGAAGAACACTGACTTGTGGACTATTCTACGTCCATTGATATAGGTGTTTCCTGAGACTGTGGTTCTAAATTTCCAAATACAATGACTCATTCCCTGAAGGTATTTGGTGATGGCCAAGAAGTTTTCATAACTTTTCCTCCTGTACGTTCTGCTACGTATGTGGGTATATTTTCAACACATATATAAATAAATATATGGAATCTTGGTGTAGGATAAGCACTGGATTCCTAGCCACAATGCTAGCAGTTTAAGACCACCTGCTTTTTGGAAACCCTGACTTGAAGGTACTTATCAACAACAACAACAGTAATAAATACATATATAGAAATATCTTCTTTCAAACCTACATAGATAATTTAATTCACTTTCCCACTCCACAACAGCTTCTATTGTCTTCCTATGTACCTACTTATAGATTATTATTTATTATTATTGTTATATCAAGGCTGTGTATGTAGCAGTATTTACCTTTGATTGCTTTAAGTGTTGAGTAGTTCCCACTATCTTCTTTTACCTTGGTCATATTTTGCTGTCCTCCTCCTTACTGTATATTGCCTTTCCCTTCATACTAGTGAATCTGGAGTCCTGGTGTGGAGCTGTAGATTGAGCACTGGACTGCAAGGTCAGTATGAACTGCAAGTTTTTTCAAACTTACCAGCTGCTCATCAGAACCCCAATCTACTCTGTTAACCATCAAAGAATGTTTCAGTTGGTACGAAAACATTTTTTTTTTACTTTCATAATAGCGATTTCATACTCCATTTGTCCCTTTTGGATATATTTACTTCTCTCAGCATAATGTCTTCCATGTTTAATCACATTTTAAAGTGTTTCAGAGACTCATCAACATTTTAAAATATTACATTATGTGCATGTATAATAATTATTTAATCAGTCATCCATTTCTGGATACTTATGTTATGTCCATCCTTTTGCCATTGAGAATAATGTGTGATGAACGTAGATTTCTGTCACAGCTCTTATTTCTCTAGACTGTATACCAAAGAGTAGTATTACTGGGTCACATGGTATTTCTATATCCAATGTTTTAGGGACTGCAATACCACACTTCTCAATAGTTAGACCATTCAACAGTCTCATCAGTAGTGTGTAAGAGTTCAAGTCTTTCCACATTCTTGCTAGCATTCATTGTTTTCTGTATTTTTTAATATCCTGTTATTATTAGGGTAGTGATATCACATGCTGTTATTCAGCTATTTGTTTTTATCACATTTCTCTACTCAGTTCATATTTTTAAAAAGCTATAAATATGGCTTTGTCTGAAATGTATCTCAATAAACAACACTTAGTTTCTTTACAAATAAAATAACTCACCTAAACAATAGAATGAAGTCAGGGGTTAGGTTATTACTCTTATTAGAATAGCCTGGGCTAAGCAAAAAAAAAAAAAAAAAAAAATTCAGGGTTGTGGGCCCTATTCTAGACTGGCAGAAACAATTCATGGGGTATGTTTTTGGGAAATCTACATTTTAACAATACCATGATCCACACATAGTAACAAATGTGACTATGATGCAAGACTCGGCATTGTTTCCTTCAATTGTACAGAAGGTTGTTATGAATCAGAATCAACTCACCAGCACCTAATAACAAGAGTAATTTTAGATGATTTTATTTTCTCTGAACACATTTCTTTACCTGTTTTCATCAAACATGTTTAATTGACTCCCCATCTTGCTTTGTTGTTGTTGTTAGGGGCCATTGAGTCAGTACCAACTCATTGCACCCTATGCACAGCAGAACAAAACACTGCCTGATCCTGGGCCAACCTCACTATTGTTGCCACGTTTGACACCATTGATGCTGCCACTTTGTCAAACCATGTCAAAAAAGAGGCATTCCTCTTTTTCTCCGACCCTCCACGTTACCAAACATGATATCCTTCTACAGCAACTTGTCCCTCATGATAATATGTCCGAAGTATGAGATGAAGTCTGGCCATCATGGCCTCCAAGGAGCACTCTGGCTGCACTTTTATCAACACACATTTGTTAGTTCTTTTGGCAGCCCATGGCACTTTCAATATTCTCCTCCAACACCATCACTCAAAAGCATCAATGTGTCCATGGTCTTCTTTATTCACTGTCCAGCTTTTGCATGCATATGAGGTTATTGAAAATTTCATGGCTTGGGTGAGGTGCACCTTAGTCCTCAAGATGACATTTTTGCTCTTCAACACTCTAAAAAGATCTTGTGCAGCAGATTTGCCTAATGCAATATGGTCTTTTGATTTCTTGATTGCTGTTTCCAAGTGTTTTGATAGTTGATTCAAGAAGAATGAAGTCCTTGACAACTTCAATATTTTTTCTGTTGATAAGAGTGTTGTTTATTGATCCAGTGGTGACGATTTTTGTTTTCTTTACATTGAGACACAATCCATTCCATATGCTGTGCTCTTTGATCTTCATCAGTAAATATTTTAAGTCTTCTTAACTTTTAGCAAGCAATGTTGTTTCATCTGCATATTGCAGGCTGTTAATGAATCTTCCTCCAATCCTAATACCATGTTTTTCTTCATATAACCCAGTTTCTCAGATTACTTGTTCAGCATACAGAGTGAATAAGTGTGGTGAAAGAATACAATTTGGTTTCCCATGTACTGATCAAACAACTGTCTCTTGGTCCATGTACAGATTCCTCATGAGCACAATTAAGTGCTTCAGAATACTCATACTTTGCAATGTTGTTCATAGCTTGTCATGATCCACACAACTGAAAGCCTTTGCATAGTCAATAAAGCACAGGAAAACATCTTTCTGATATTTACTGCTTTCAGCCAAGATCCATCAGACATCTGCAAAGATATCCCTTGTTCCATGGCCTCTTCTGAATCCGGCTTGAACCTCTGGAAGTTCTCTGTCAATGTATGCTTGTAGCCATTTATGTATTATTTTTAATAAAACTTTACTCCCATGGGATATCGAAAACATTGTCCGATGATTTCCACATTCTGTTGGGTCACCTCTCTTTGGAATGGGCACAAATATGGGTCTCTTCCAATCAGTTGGCCACATAGTTGTCTTCCAAATTTCTTGACAGAGATGAGGGAGTGTCTCCTGTGCTGCTTCACTTTCTTGAAAGATTTCAAATTGTATTCCATCAATTCCTGGTGCCTTGCTCTTTGTTAATTCCTTCAATGCACTTTGGACTTCTGCTCCTTATCATATGCTGCCTCTTGAAATGACTGAACATCAACCAGTTCCTTTTGCTAGAGTGACTCTTTGTATTCCTTCCATCGTCTTTTGATGATTTATGCATCATTCAATAATTTGCCCAGAGAATCCTTCACTAACGAAAGTCAAGGCTTGATTTTTTCTTCAGTTATCCCAGCTTGAGAAATGCTGAGTGTGTTCTTCCTTTTTTGTTTCCTGACTCCAGATTTTTGCACATTTTATTGTAATATTTGGCTTTATCTTCTCGAGCTGATCTTTGAAATTGTCTGTTCAGCTCTTGGACCTCCTCATTTCTTCCATTTACTTTAGCATCTCTACACTGGAGAGCAATTTCCAGAGACTCTTCTGACTTCCATTTTGACCTTTTCCTTCTTTTTTGTCTTCTCAATGACTTTGCTTTCTTTAAGTATGATGTTCTTGATGTTATCCCACAACTCTTCTGGTCTTCAATCTTTAGTGTTGAAAATATCAAATCTGTTCTTCAGATGATCTCTAAATTCAGGTGGGAAAAATTCAAGGTCATATTTTGCCTCTGGTGGACTTGTTTTCATTATCTTTAGCTTCAGCTGGAATTTGCATATGAGCAATTGATGGTCTGTTCCACAATCTGACCCTGGTCTTGTTTTGACTGATGATATGGAGCTTTTCCATTTTCTCTTTCCACGATGTAGTCAATTGATTTCTATGTATTCCATCTGGCAAGGTCCATGTGTATAGTTGTGGCTTATACTGTCTAAAGAAGTTATTTGAAATGAACAAATCATTGATTTTGCAGAATTCTATCATGAGATCTCCAGTATCATTTCTATTGGCAAAGCCATATTTTCCAAATACTTATGCTTCCTTATGTCTCCCAACCTTTGCATTCCAATCACCAGTAATGATCAATACATCTTGATTGCATGTTTGATCAATTTCAGATTGAAGAAGTTGGTAAAATTTTTCTATTTCATCTTCACTGGGTTTAGTGGTTGGTGTGTAAATTTTAATAATTGCAGTACTAACTCGGCTTCCCTGTAGGCACATGGATATTATCCTATCACAGACAGCTTTGTACTTCATGACAGATCTGGATACATTCTTTTTGACAGTGAAAGCAACACCATTCCTCTTCAATTTGTCTTTCCCAGCATAGTAAACAATATGGTTGCCAGATTT